GTTGTTGGTATCACCATGAAGTTCCAATCATTTCCACGGTCGCCATATACGATTTTATCGTCATTTAAAAAATTTTCTCTCCATCCTTCGGCTAGATTGTAGGAATCTCAAATCGCTGGAGCGGTGGCAATCAAAATCCAATCCAACGGTCACACAAAACCTTAGCCATTTATTTCCAAATGGTTCCTTCCGGAGTGAGACGGGCAATCACAATTTCGGTCCATGACCCCCCAAAAACCATGGTATTATTTACTCCGGGCTGAAAGAAACGATCACGGGTTTCCTTCAATCAAAATCTTGTCATTGCAGCAGCCGGTTTTGTATCATCATTTGAACAAACTCAAAAAACGCTGTCATCAACAAAACAAAGGTTAGCGAGACGTTTGATTGATTGAGAGATTTGCAGCCTTACCTGGATCAGCGTCATGCGGGCCTGGAGACGACTCCGGGTGGTATTGTATGCCCATCACCTTCATGGCCGGGTACGTTAACCCGGCACAAGTTCCGTCGTTCAAGTTGACGTGAGTGACCTCCACTCCCTCCGGCAAAGTCGCAATATCCACAGCGTAATTGTGATTCTAAAGAGGAAAAAGAAATTATCAAGCATTAGCTTAGTGACCAGTGAATAGCTGTGGTAATTCGTACCTGGGAGCTAATCTCAACACGTCCCGTAGGAAGATGGCGAACAGGATGGTTACCACCGTGATGGCCAAACTTCATCTTGAACGTTTTTCCACCCAGTGCTTGTCCCAGGAGTTGATGCCCCATGCAAATGCCAAACACTGGAACCTGTCCCAGCAGCTCCTTCACCGTTTCGACGGCATATGGTACCGCAGATGGATCACCGGGTCCATTGCTGAAAAGAATGCCATCTGGTTTTAACTTCATCACTTCCGAGACCGGCCAGTTTGACGGCACCACCGTGATGTTGCAGCCATAAGAAGCCAAGCGCTGCAATATGTTATGCTTGACACCAAAATCATAAGCCACAACCTGCCATAGAGGTACACATGTTTTCTGAAGTAAGAAAAAAAAATCAGTGAGCTACCTGTAGCTTGTCACAAGCTGCAACCGCGTCCTTGCTAAACTCCCATTCGTGGCGTGTAGTATCTTTCCACTCATAAGGCCGTGTACAGCTTACACCTGAGATCAAATCCTTCCCTGAAGAGAAACTTACGAGATGTCAGAAAAAAAAAGGAATGATTTGTGTCATCCAAGATTCCTCTTACCAACAATGGTCCAGTTTTGAGCTATATGTAAGAGCTCTTCATCCGTTTTTGTTGCATCAGTGCTGAGGACCCCATTCAAACTTCCATCATTTCTCAATCTTCTGGTGATAGCTCGGGTGTCCAGATAGGCTGCAATAACGACATTACAAAATGAAAAAAAAAAAAACAAAACAGACTCTCGCCTTACATATGCCCATGATGTTCCTCTTTTGTAAATATTCTGCCAGTGTCTGAGTAGCCCTCCAGTTTGAAACGCTAGACACAGAAGAAAGAAGAACAAAACCAAAAAGAAAAATGAGTATTTTCTAAAGGTTAGCGTACTTACCGGTCACTTAAGCTTCGAACAATTAGACCACAAAGATGGCACTTACTGGATTCCTCGTCCTCTAGAAAAACCAGACATCTTTATGTTAAAACCCAAGGTTGAGAACGGAAAAACTGACCAAAATTGACGCCAGTGTTCCCAATGTGCGGTTGAGTCATAACCACGAACTGGCCAGCATAACTCGGATCAGTGATAATCTCCTGATACCTGGGAAGGACATGCAACACTTTAAAGTGGTTGTGATCCAAAATGGAAAGAGAAATACATACCCGGTCATGGCAGTATTGAAAACAACTTCTCCGACTTGCGTTCCAGAAGCTCCAAAAGACTTGCCATTCCACACTGATCCATCCTGAAGAACAAGCCTTGTGTCTTTAGTCTTCCATGGCCGCTCAACTGTCCCACAAAAGAGCCAAGATTATAATGGATCCAAAGCAAGCAAGAAGATGAAATCACATACACAGCGCGCCAGCGACACCTTCCATCTCCGTCGCAGCTGCAGGCGCCGGCTGACAACAGAAAACCTGCAGCGATCGGCCGCATTTCCGATGCCGGTAGCCAAATCGGAGCTGCGATCCACGAAATCCATGACGCTCGCCAGCTGCGGCGCTTGATCCGCGCTTCCCAGACACAGCAGACGAGCAAGGGGAGGACAATGCATGCTGGATCGCCATCGCAAAATCTCCCCCTCGTTAGGGTTCTATAAAAACCCTCTAGCCAAGAATATCCCCAAGTGATTCCAACAAACGGACGGTCGGCGCCATCCAACGGTTGTGATTCAAACTCCGGCTGTTATACAAACGGACGGTCACAACCATCCGGCGTTCGCCATCCAACGGCTGTGATTCAAGCTCTAGACTTGTTGCGAGTTTATCAGGCCGAGGCTGTAGAGAAAGGTCCCAAACGAGAACCTCGACTTGCTCGCGACCTCGTGCTGGGAGTTTGGGGAAGAAGGCGTCAAATCCTTCACCTGGAGAATGCTTTGCCCGATTTCCTTGCGCGTCGCCTCCACGATCCGCCTGTCCACCGGGTTCCCGGACGCGTCCGTCACGTAGAACACATTGACGGCCTTGTCACCTTGTGTGGACACGTCCGCTCTCGTCACCGAGAGTCCGTTCTCGCGAAAGATGCGAGTCACGTCGGACAGGAGGCCCACCCTGTCCTTGGTGCAAAGCTCCAGCCGGATTCCCTGGAAGAAAAATCAAAGCTATTCTTCTTCTTCTCCGAGATTTAATGAATTGTGAAAGCTTACCCCGCCGGTTCGTCTTTCTATGGCGGCTTCCAAGCACTTGACGACGTACTCCTGCTCGGCTTCCGACTTTAGCGTGCAGCCATCCATGAGGCGGATGTAGTACTCCTGGTGAAAGCGATTTCAGTTGCGTGGAGAGAAACGGAAATGTGCGTACCTGATAGGCGAAAGATCCCTCGGACCGGATAGCGGCATGGAAGACGACGTACTTCATGTCGGTTAACGTACACACCGTGTCGAAGAGTAGCTTTGGGCGGTCCTTGCACCGGACGTTGACGACGGAGTATCCCTTCTCGGCGCAGTTCTGGACAGAGATGGCTGGCCTGGTCTTATCGGCGGCGGCCACGAAAGTGTTCGTCGACTCCGGCTGGATGGCAGCAAAGTCGGCGGACATGATCTGGTGGAGCCGCCTCTCGGTGTGGAGCACGGCCATCGGGATATCGGTCTTGGAGCCTTTTCCGCTCTCGTCACCTTGCAAAGCTTGGGACAGCCTCGCCTTGATTACCGCCAGTTTCTTCTCGTCTTCGATGGGGCCACCCGTGACTTCGTCCGTGACGTAGACCACGCAAGCCACTCTCAAGTTGTGCGTCCACACCTCCGCAGCCACAACGTTGCACATCATGTCCTTGAGGACTCCAGAGATGTCGGAGAGGAGGCCCGGGCGATCCCTCCCGCAAAGCTCGATGGCAGTTTGCTCTGTGTTGGACCGTAAGCTGAACCGCCGGCCGAGACAAGTTTGTACCTCGGTCGTCTGGGAATCTTGCTTTGCTCCGAGCGACTGCCATGTAAATCCGCAAGCAAGCAAGCTCTTGCAGTTAGTAAATTATGCTAGTGGCAACCACAGTACCTGGAAGTGTAGAGCTTAGTGGGTACCTGCTGGATGTAATCGATGATTCCCTCGTCTATGAGCTTGTTTCCCAGCTGATCCGTCACATGGAAGACTGACAGAAAGAATGGTTAAAGTTCTACCTTTACTCTCGTTCTAAAGCAAATAGAAAAGCTTTGCAAGGTTCGTCCTTCTTACCATCCATAAACCAGCCACCATCGGAAGAAATGTAGGCCTTGGAAATCGCCAGGTCGAGGTCTGTGAGAACTTGGACGACCTCGAGAAGAATTCCATGCTTGTTTTTGCTATCAACCTGGTGGAAAGAAAAAAGTATTTAAGACGAGCACAGACAGACAGGTAAGGGGGTTGCCTTGATAAGCGTGGCGTCCGGACAGCTTGTGTTATCGATCACGACACTGCCAGTCACGCAAATTCGCCAGAGGGGAAAGGTTAGCTCCAAAAGAATTCGACCGCATGCTCGAGGAGAAATTTCACCTTGGAGGATCTAATCTTAGCGAAAGAGTGTCGTATTCCGGGTCGAAATATGGACAGCCTCGTCCGGAGACGCTGGTGCTGCTGCAATCCAATCCATGGACTCTGAGAGCGAGAAATTTCGACCAAGAAAGCTCTTCCGGCTCACCTCATTTTCGGGCGCCGCGCATGGACAGCTCCAAAATCCCGGGGAGAAATCCCCGATTTCTTTGCCGCACCGCCTCAGCAAGAACGCTGCGCAGCTCCTGGGAGCTGCCCCGCGGCCCTAGACACGCCAGCGCCGCGCGGGAGATGCGAAATCCCCAACAATCCTGGAGCACGATCCAATCCAATGCAATCCAAAATCCTCGCTGCTATCGAAAGAATCCAGCCGCCGCGCCGGAGAAACAAGAGAAAAGAAAAGCCCCGCCGCCACCGCCGCCGCTGACCCCTTCGCTACTCTCCTTCAAAAAAAAAATCCCTCGCCAAACCATTCGTGTTGGCTCCAAGTTGTCACCTGTACGGAGGCCCAAAGTGCCCGTACGGGGCACCGTGACCAATAATTGCGCGCCCAAACCGCGTGACGTGGCGTCCGAGCTGTCTCGCCACGCGGCGGTATCTTCGCCGAGTCGGACCCACGTCAGATGGAGCCCTAAAGCTTTTGTTTTTGTCATTCGCGACAGAGATACGCTGCTAGTTGCGAAAGCGAGTTCTCACTCACCCACTCCTTTTAAGAGACAACTTGTCTCTTCAAAATTTCGTCCAGTTTTCTCGATCTCGGCCTTTCTTTTTGCTGGACCGCTGTGAATCGCTACATTTGGGAAGCTCGGAATCTCCCAAATCGTTGTCTTGCATGAGTTAGAACGTGGGAATGGAATGGAGAATCCCAAAGGAATCCAAACACTCAATAGAGAAATGGTAGAAAAATCCCTGAACAAAAGTATGGAGGCAAATTGCAAGAGTGGGGCTAGGTATGTGGAGAGAAGCATCCATTCATTCAATTTGATACTTGAGAGAGAGTGTGATCAGATAAGGTGAGCTTCCACACTTCTCTTCTTTTCTCTTGTGACGTTTGGATCACAGGGATTTGTGGGGCAACATCACCATAATGTTGGTGTTGCTTGCTGCATTGCTGACACACTCCACTGTTGGGGTGATGGAGATGTCAACGGCCTTGGGGATTTCAATCTTTGCCCTCCACTTTCTGTGGGCATAAGAATTCAGTGGGAGGGACTTTCAATGATAATGCAGCTGGCAAGTATTTAAAAGCTGAAAACAACAATGTCCCACCAGAAAATTGGCATTGACTCTGAGAAGGTTCAGCCTGGTCTTCCTCCTAATTCAAGCAAATTCTGACCCCAGGCTGATGTCACTCAAGGATTACAATCTGAAATGCAGCTTCATTAATCTTTCACCAATGAAAGAGAAATCATGTTTAATGGAATTTGTGATACCAATCAATTTTGACTAAGGCAACTAGTTAGTTCCCTTAATTGGCTAAAAATTAACAACTTGCTCATACACTAGCAGCATTTCAGTTTGTACTTTTAAGAATCCATTTAAACTTAATCCAATTCCTTGAACATTAATAACTTTCTGATCATTTCAGTTTGTAACCTGAAAAGTGTTTATTAAAGTAAGCCGGGAAGAGTAAACTTAATCCAAACTTTTCCACCAAGCAAAAAATTACCTCGACAATCACGTATTGACGCTCTCGTCGTTTCCTTCCAGTATGGCGCAAGGCAGCGTCGCCATTCTGGTGCGCTTGGCAAGCGAAACGACATCGAAGGCCCTGTTGCTCTTCCTGTGCCTGTGGCCCCTGCGACCATAAAACTTGCTCCTACTAGCTGGCATCTGGAACAAGTTGTCTCGGCTCTTGAGCCACAGCTCACACTTCTCCCTGCTCTCTGGCTGCACCGATGCCTGGGACAGCGCCATTGATGGGGCGTCGCTGCGGTCGTCCACCTCAGACTTCTGGGGAGCGTCTGATGTTGGAACACCGCTGAGGAGTATCTTGTCCAAGCGGCTGAATGTGTCCCTGGCAGCCTTTGGGTTGGGCTGTTCAAAAGTTGGCAAGAGGCTTGACACTGCACCCGCCAGGACCTGCTTTATCGATCCTTGGTTGTCTTCCAGCTCGGAGACGCTGCCGTTCTTCCTCCGGCGCTGCTGCCAGATTGACGATGCGAAAGCTCGCCGCAGGACCGCCACCTGAAGCTGAGTGTAAGAACTCGGAACTAAGAGAAGGACGGCGCTCGTGCTTTACCTGCGTCACCGCTTCCTGCCGTTCTGCTTGACACGATGACAGTGCTCTTCTCAGATCCAGGCATTGTTGCAAGAACCTGAATCGAAAGCACGGCGTCAAATTCATCAAGTGTCACAGTCATCAATCAATGGATTGGATTACTGACGTTTGAGCTCGGACGTAAAAGCTCAGCGTAAGTGTATCTTCCCCCGGAAGAAGGTACCCTTCGTTTTCAAGGTCATCAATCTTGAAAAATTGATAGTACCCCCAGCATGCACCTTCCTGTAATGTGGCCCTTGTAAGTTACAATCAAATGATCTGGAGATATCGATTGCCTCAAAATCCGAAGAGAATCGCCTCACAACTTTCATGTGCGGCTGCGAACGATGTAACATCTCTATGCCATATTCATATGTTGTAGGCTCAGAGCCACCTTTGACCATCTAGACGTGACTAGCGTTAGTTTTTCTCAGGTACATTGAATGAAGAGGCCGACCTCAAGAAATGCAGAAATGTGGCTTCCCTTCGATGAACCACTACCATTTGGATACAGCTGCACGATCAAGTCAGGATCGTGACTGCAACCGCACGAACAGTTCAAGTACCTTTAGGCGCCAGGTAATCCCGGCGGCAGAAATCGGCTACAGTAACGAAGAAGTTTTAGTTAGCAGTGACAAGTTTCAAACAAGATGCCATTATTTCACCTCCTTGTTATGTCCACTGCATCTAAGGTACCCACCGCACTGTAAACGATGTCGCTTGTGGAGTCAGTTGTACTAGAAGAATCGTTGCTCTTGCTTGGTTTCGCATGCAAATACTTTCTGAAGTTCTTAAGAACAAGCTCCCCGTGCTCAAACGGAGGAATAACCTACCACAAAAATTGTATATGCATAAAGTTAGCTCGTGTGGGATACCTCGGAAACAAAATCTGAAGAAACAGGGTCCCGCCTTAATTCAAGATTGATTTTCTTGTGCAAGTCCTGGAAACTTATCGAATGAGATCGTGCGCTACACAACAAGAACCAGTATCACCTGTATAATACATGTAATTGTCGGTTCATGAGCGATGAGATCGCTCTTGGACGATGTAGTTAATTGAAAATCAAGTTGACGCAAAATGGTCTCTAACAACTCCACCTGCAGAGGCCAGCAAATCAGGCTGAGCCGTAGCATAAATAAAATCTCATACCTCTTGAGAAACAGCACCCTTCTGTGCCAATAGTGTCAGCAGCTTGCATTTGAGCTGTTCTTCGAGCTTCGCCTGCATATCACATCAGTAAAACGATAGCAATTCCTGTTCTTGCAAAAAGAAAGCAGTTCTCACCCGCATTCTTTTGAAAGCCGCTTCAATCTCAGTCGCTTGATCATCTTTGGCCTGTTCTTAAGGACATAAGTCACACACGCAAACATATGATATACCTTCAAGACAGCTTCAATGTCATTGTCAACCGACGCCAGCATATCATACAAATCCTGAGCAAAAGAGAAGACTTAGCATTACACCTAACAGTCGTAATAATCCTTACTTTAAGACGTGAACGTAGAGCTGATGCCTCGACATGCAATTTTTTGGAATGCCTTCCATAGGTCACATTTAGGCGTTCAAACGAGTGGTTTTGGTGGCTCTATAGAAACCAGAGTAAGATAAGTGAAAAAAGAAAGAGCGAGTATGACCTCGGCCAGGATGGCGCAGTCGGAGCACACTGCAGTCGAGCATGTGGTGCAGAAATACGAAAGTGGACTGCCATGAGCTGGGCAAATCTGCAATAGAAAAGGTCGGTGCGAGCACACGAAAATGTAGCCTTCTACCTTCTCTGGTGGAGCATCCTCGTCAAAATTCCCGTGTATTTTCTCCACTTCCTGCGAAAGCAAAATGAATGAGAAGTCAGTCGGAACTCGCAAACTCACGTACCGTCGTAATCTCGGAAATGAATTTGCAGCCTACAAGTTGCGAGACCGAGAGCGAGGCACGGCAGTGAGGGCACTCGGGCTTCTGATCGGTTAACCAGCGCTGCAACCAGGCCGACGACACAGATGAGAAAAAGAAGTGAGAAGAGCTTGAGTTTATCAAATGACCTTGGAAATGATTCAGGCTGCAAGGCGTACTTTGATACATAGCATGCACACCAGCTTAGAGCAGCATGGACAAAGTTGAGCATCCATAAGCTGGAATGAAGAAACAAAACAAAGAACGGTCAGTGAGACTCTATATGGAACGAGAAAGACTACTACCTTTCCCAAGCAGATGAAACAGCGAAAGATTTCCGCGATGGCTGATGATAGAGTTCCAGATTTGTGGGGCTGCTCGATCTTGGTTCCCGACGCTTCGCAAAGTTTCTGCGACATTCTATCTCGCCGAAAGGAGCTGGCCTGTTCCTTCTGTACATCCACCACATTGTCGCCAGGAAAAATATTGCGAGCAACAGACACGTTGAGACGATCCGGCGAGAGCAATTGGCCCAGCCCCGATCGATTCCTCGCGTCTCCCTTCTGCCTGGACAGAATCCTCTCCTGCAATTTGTAAGGGCTCGATCCGATCCTGACAGCACCAGCTCGATCGCCGCCGCCCCTGGCGCGATGATGCTGGCGATGCTGCCTACCTCGACCTCCTCGAATCCTGGTAAAGATCGAGGAGCAGCCAATGCCGCTTGCATTCCTTGTCAGCGGCGCCGACGATGACACGGTCGAGAAGCTGGAATCGGAGCTCTCGTCATCTTCCTCCATCGCGGGCAACATTTCGAGCCCTAAAAGGTGAAAACCGCTCTCCTACAAAGATCTGGGATCCAACGGCTGGGACGAAAAGAGATCCACGGCTGGCTATTAGGGTTTATAAGGCTCATTCCTTTAGGGTTTGTGGATAGGCTATGGGAGTGAGCGAAGGGGGCGAAATCTTGTCACAGGAGTTCCCAGCGCTTGAGAGGTATGTGGCAGTGGAATCGATCGGCCGCGGGAAGTATGGCAAGGTGTTCCTGGCCACGGACAAGCAGACCAGCGAGCGCGTGGCAATCAAGCGGCTAAGGGTCGACCCCAAAGAGGCGACGCTAAAGGTCAGAGAGGCCGGCGGCGAGCTGCGCGATGTGCCGGCGTCGATTGCCATCGAGATCAAGGTCCTCCGGCTGCTCAACAACGATCACGTTGTCAAGCTCCTGGATGTGATCTACGCGGCCACCGACATCTTCCTTGTCTTCGAGTATATGAAGCACGACCTTTGTGGGCTCATCCACCGGCATAAGTTCTCGGCCCCGGAGATCAAGTGCTACCTCAAGCAGATCCTCGAGGGCCTCCACTACTGCCATCTCAATGGAGTGATGCACAGGGACATCAAGTCCTCATCGAGAACGTAACCGGTGCGTCCTGTGCTGAACTGCCGTCTTTCACAACCCCTTCACCCCTTCTTTTTT